CTCTCTCTCTCTCTCTTTTCTCTCTCTCTCTCTCTCCCCTCTCGCTCCCCCCCCCCTCTCCCTCTCTCTCTCTCTCTGTCTGTCTCTCTGTCTCTTTGTCTGTCTCTCTGTCTCTGTCTCTGCCCCCCCTCTCTCTCTCTCTTCCTTCTTTTTTGTGTTTTTTCTGTCTTTCTGTCTCTTCCCCCCCTCTCTCTCTCCTTTAAGGGAGTGGCGATAGCACGATTGATATTGGATTACAGATGGGTTGACCTTGGTTCAAGTCAAGTCTCCACTTCTCAACTCTTGAACTTGGATTTTACTTGTGAAGTTTGCAATACCTGGCTTGGCCCTGTCGGACATGGGAGTTGAATTTTGAGATGTATTGCCTCTTAAATGACTTTATCATGTTGATGTGGCGAGTTACACCCCCACATCACCTTCTAAATCTCCCCCTTCCATTCTACTACATCACCTTTCTCCTTTCCATTCCACTACTTCATCTAAATTTCTCCTCTCCATCCCTCTTTCATCTAAATTTCTCCCATCCATCTCTCTTTCATCTAAATTTCTCCCCTCCATTTCATCTAAATTTCGCTCGTTCATCATACTACTCCATCTACATTTCTCCCTTCCATCCCACTACTTCATCTAAATTTCTCCCATCCGTCCCATCACATCGTTTCAATCTCTATCTTTTTCATTTAACGTGTCATGTTGTGCTCATGTGCGGTTGTCTGCACTATCGTCCCTTCCACAGCTACAGGAGCCCAAAGGAGCTCTCAAATGTCCCAACACAAATATTGTTTATGCCAGTACTTGTGACAAGTCAGAAATAAGAATAAAATAGGGGGAAAAACTGCTTGTAGACAAAGTTGAGCTATTATTGCTTTAGTGCCTCTATGACTGTACTGATACTGTGGTGACATCTATTGGAAAAGTGCAGTTCGTGATTGAATATTTTTTAGATTTAGTGGGTACTAGTTTTACACTCTATGAAACACAAACACGAATTAAACCACGGTTCTTGGTCAAAAAAATACTTTCTGTAGGGTGAGGTATAAATACATTATTAACATTGATTTGCTGCTGTTGGATCGAGACAGCTTTCACGACTTTGAGGTGCATGTTGAGGGAGAAACATTTAGATGTCATCGCTTTATCCTGAGCTCCTGCTCTCTTTTTTTTTCGTGGCCTCTTCAACTCAGGAATGAAAGAAAGTGAAACTGATATCGAAGAAATATCAAGTGAAACTTTCAGAGATGTGTACGAGTTCATATATTCTGGTCGGAAAGTGGTGAACAGTGAGAATGTGAGCAGTTTATGTTTTGCCGCCAGTCATCTCCTGATAGACGTGCTCATACAAGAATGTGAGTTTTATCTAGAGAAAAATCTCACCAAACACAGATGTGTGGAAGTATTTAACCATGCTAAAGTCCTCAACTCACAGAAATTGTCTAGTTTATCTTTTGAGATGATGCAAAAGGAGTTTAATTTCATAAGGCGCACAGAGGATTTTCTGTCTCTGGATGAATGTGATGCGAAACAGCTGATAGCATGTGAGGATTTGCCCATCGACTCGGAAGATGAGGTTCTTGAAGCACTGCAGGTAAACACTCACCTAGAAATAATTTGGCTTCTAAGGTATCTTCGTTGGTTTGTTTGAAGTTGTTACATTACTCTCTGTTTGTCTGTTCTAACTAGATGTCAGGATTTTTGCAACTGGGGTACTGGATTTGGCAGTCTGCAACTAGATCTAGATGAAGAGAATTCAGAAGTCAAAATACTCCAATAAAAAGCAATATATGAGAAAAGGTCAAAACAACCACTTGAGTAGATCACATTTTATTGTTAGGCACAGGAGGGGCCTTTTCAACCAAGATTGAACATAGAGATGTCCGCTCAGAGGTCGAGAGTCATACTGTATGAACACAAGGAGTCCATGGGGAAAACGGGACTTGTCACAAGCTGAAAATCGTGAGGGTATAAATTTTTAACGCTTGTTGTCTCATAACTGTATTTCTGTTCAATTGTTGGTTGATTATTGTTGTTAGATTTCTTGTTAGATTTCCTATTCAACATAGCAATAAACCACCAATCAAACAAATATGAAGTTTTGAGCCCACAAGCTTTTAAAATTGGCACCCTCACAATTTCCAGTTAAAATCTAGATCTAGTGACTATGCTCGTTTTCCCAGTGGCCTCCTCAAATTGAACTTATAGGCAGGTCTTCTTATCTTGGTGGACTCTGATGGGCAAATAATGCACATGTATAGCACTAGAAAGATAAAATGTATGTCTGGTGGTTTGCTTTGCATATATTTTATATAGATCTATATATATATCATGTGTGGTCTAATTCGCTGTAATTACCAGACAAGCCACAAGCACGTGAAATAAGTGAGCAAACTCAGTGTAGCCTAGTGAGTGTAGGAGAATAAGGGAGAGCGGGGGGTATATAAACAGATGCGAAGGTTGAACTGGCCTTCCGAGACACGACTTAAATCTAGGCTGAGCAGGGATCGACGCTACTGGTGGGTCCACGCAGTGGATGAAGCTCCGGACCTGTAAGACCCACACACATCGTTCCCCGCTCGAAACAGTGTGTATTGAAAACAAAGTAGATAGACAAACGAGTAGAATCTAGGATTAAATAGCATTTATCATCTCATTACAATATATGTGAGGCAGTGTGGTGGAATCAGGCTCTCGTCAATTTTGGGGCAGGTAGAGTTAATGGTTCTTGTTCACTTGTCTTTATTTGGATGAAAAAAATATCCAATTATCTTGAATACAAGTCGAGATATTTGCAAAAGAAGGAGGTGAGGGTCCCCTGTTTTCTGGGGTAAAATTAGTGAGAAAATGACAGCCAAAGATTAGTTATTTCCTTTGCTTAAGAGTCTGTGGTAATTGAAAATTGACATTTTGTGTGTGCCTTTATTCAACGTTTTTCAGAAAATCTACACAGAAATGAGTTCTTTAATTGGCATAAAAGGTGTTGAGCCGAAAAAAAAAATTGATAAAAATTCACAAACCAGCGGAGCAATGCAAGTTTCTTCACTTTGATTATTTTGATTTTGACGAGAGCCTGATTCCACCACGCTGCCTCACATATGTATGTATATATATATATATATATAAAATATAGAAAGATAGATACACATGCAGTACAGTCCACGAATCTTGCACGCGAAAATCACGAATTCTCTGGTATCTCGAACACAATCTCGGTCCCGTTTCAGTCCCTATGTTTTCTTTGTACTGACTTCACGGAGTTCTCGAACACTCGGAACACCCAAAACTCGGATCTCGAACAAATTCACTTTGCATTCTCAACTAGAGACCCGGCTTTATAGCCTTTCTGGTATCGGGTAGGTGTTTCTTTGTTATTGTTACAGCCAAAACGTGCTGTGCTGGGTACAAATGTATGGTGAGAGCATACCTAGGTTTTTTTTCAAGAGTTCTTTTTTTGTTTTGGTACAAGTTTTATGGCACTAGCAACACAATTAGGGTGCGTGGTTGGTAGTCACTCTAGTGAGGTTTGCTCCTTTTTTGCTTTGAACAAACATCTGTCGTCCTCATCTTATCTCTCCTTCTTTTTGTGTTTGTTACTCTCTTTAAACACCTCTAATCTTCGACACTTATATTTCCTAATTAAATAAATTATGTTGCAAGTGCAAACTTTACTTTACTTTACTTTACTTTTCCAATCCAGCGGCCATTTGGGTTCTAGCCCTTCGGTCTGTCGATATGGCAAAGAATTGACAGGTTTTGCAAGTGCAAAAAAACTCTTACCAAAACAAAAACACAATTACGTCATATAAGTGTCGAAGATTTGAGGTGTTACATTATAATAAGAGAGTAACAAACACAAAAAAGGAGTGATAACAACAATACGTTTGATAGAAATGAAAGAGCTAACCACACAAGAGCACCCATCAACCACCCACTTTTCTTAGTTTATAAGCACGCCTGAACTTAGGGAATATGGATTCAAATATGTGGTCTTCTCTGACAAAGATGAAAAACATGGAAGTCCTACAGCAAAAATGTAATTGTGTTACAAGTGCCATGAAATTCTTACTAAAACAAACATAAAACAGAGGTTCCTCATGCATAACTTCCTTTAAATACACCTTGACAAATGAAATTGAAAAAAGAACGCCTCACAAGGCAAAATTCGAATCCCTACCCAAACAAAAGAAATTGACCCCCTAGGACAATGCCACTGACTGAAGTGTCTTTAGGACATTCCCAAAGGGGGGATATTAACATGTTCGTATGCACAGTAGAATTGTAAACGGGCTGACAACAAAAAGTACTCTCTCAACGTCATGCTCAAACTGAGCTGAAACAAGGGGGAAATGCTGCTTTTTTTCCCCTCATCCTTGTTATCGTCATTTTTCCTCTACTTCATTTGTATGTTTGCCACTCTCTTGTGAACTGCTATTTCCAGGGTGCTTGATAGTCGAGGCTAACTTTGTGCTGTTGGTTGAGGCAAAAGAGGTGAGCAGAGAAAGCCTGATTCTCCGTTTGGACTTCTCTGTTGACAGCTACCCCTTGGCGCTCATATGACCTTAATCCTTTAAATGCAGTTGCGAATGCCTTAAAAACCTTACTAAAACTAAAACACAAAAGAAACTGTGTCATGTAAACTTCTTATAATAGCCATGAAAACAGCATATCACTATCTGACTGAAAAGCTACAATCCAGATTAACTTATTTAGCTCACATTCAGCTTTGTGCGATCAGCAAAGAATAGCAGTAAAAAATTATGAAATTACACAATATGTAGATTTTACATAATCATACTGCTGCACGTTTGCTGTTGTCTAAACACACAAATTTAAGCAATTCCTTTCACTTTCTGATCTTCAGTTCATCTCTGTTGTCCTTATTTCTTCAACTTTTCAATTTCCCCAGAAGATTCTATTACACCTGTTCTATCAGTTCATCCATTCTTCCTTAAATACCACAACACAAGTAAAGGCCACTACCAAACAAAAATTTTGAAAAGAAACAATGAAAAAAGCATGTTCATTTATTGTGACACTTGTCATGAAAAACCAATTTTAATGAAATCTTAACATTCTGGTACACCAATACCAACAGCAACTTTAATATTACAATGCTAGCCATATTTATTGACAGGGTAAATCTAATCAAGAGTAGTGACTTCACAACTAAAGACAATGCCCTTATACTTAATCCAGTGCTGAATTTTCATTCCACAAAAGAAAAAGGTGACAAAAAGAAACTCCATATTTAAGGTTTTTTTAATGCATGCATACAAATAATATTATAGAGTAATGGCATTTATGTACAGATTCTGATAAAGCATTATACAATTGTAGCATCATCCTGTCTGTACTGTAGCTGCAGTGACAATTCTATTACAAAAAGTGAAAAGTGAAGTGAACAAAGTCTGTAAAATCCTCTATCGACATGGTGCTTCCACACTAAATAACTCGCTCACACTACCAGCCCCATAATTATTCAAACCAGATTATACAAAATATACTTTATTCGACACTGTAATTACCACTCATTTATTTCCATGTACACATGTCACTTTGAAGTATGTAAAACATCATTATTAACACATTTTGACAACTTGCTGACCTAGAGTATAAAAGATTCTAAGTCAATTAATTATATAAAAAACCAAAATCATAATGTGATACTTCAATGCCACGTCTATGAACACATGGCTAAAATGAAGCCGTGGGCTGGACAAGGGAAGATTTTAAGTGCATTTCAAATTTAGAAGCTGAGATAAAAGCAAGAAGTTAGACTTGAGCATTCAACTGGAAAACAACAAGGTTAATGGACAACAAATGTACTTTACGTACCTTCTTTAAATTAAGGCATCCAGCAATGTTAACTTAAAGCGTACAAAACGTTTCATTATTACAGAATTATATATACCGTATGTTCTCAGCCAGTAAACTGCAACAACTCAATGCATTACAGATTAACGGGGGAATTTAGTATTTTAAATTTTAACAACAATGAACTGCATGGCAGGTGTGCTCAGTCAAAAGGTGGATACAGAACTCAAATTTTAGAACTACTATTTTAAATAAAACACTACTGAACATGAAACTGTTGTTTCTAAGGAATTTAATTGCCTGCAAACTGTAAAACACTCAGAAAAACAAAACAAAATCTGCTGATGTTCAAGAGAGCCTCAACAGTGTGAAAACTCAGACTTAAGTTTATATCCATGCATCTCCAATCCATTATTCATAACAGTTTCTCTAACCCCTCTCCTCTTCCCAAATGCAAGTATGGCCTCAGAACAACAAATTAAATGCATTTCAAAAGGGGAACACAAATGAAATTCAGAGGCTTGATTACCTCAAAAGAAGTATGGGGTCAAAAATTATCACAAATTTAAATTTTCACACAACGAGCCCCCCCAAAATGAGGCAAAAGCACACAAAGTCAAGTAATCTACTGTGCGCAAGCTATAAACAAGTATTTACCCTTAGAAAGAAATCCTAAGCAACTCAGCCAAAGGTTTAGATCCCTACGAGTTTGACAAAATCATTTAGATTTGCCAGAAAAAAAACTGTGGTCATCAGTCTAATGCCATACAAGTATACAGCAGTAAATTGAACGAGAACAAGTACCTATTTAACAATACAAAAATCATGCAGTATGAGATTTCAAAATAAGCTGCTCCTTTCAAGTGTTGCTGCATCAGCAACATACCTGATAGTCAGTTGGCAAAGAAACGTGCACAAGAAATCTTTTTCAGTATAAAGTAGCATTATAAAGAGTAATTGTACGATTGTTGGTCCTTTACAAATACCATCACCACACAAGTCATGTTATGACAAAATAAAAGGAAGCAAGTCTTCGTTCTTTCCTATATAACTGTACTATCCCTCTCAATATGACTCTAAGAAAATCTTCTTTGTCCCAGTTTGATGGAAAATCATCCAATAACTGCATTCCAAATGATGAAAGAAAATAAGTAACAGCAAAAGTTGTTGGTTGTTGCAGCAACACGACTCATTATAACGTTGTAAGAGTCTATCAGTTCTTGTTTTATTCCACAAAGCATTAGAGCCGCAGACCAGACTGTCCCTTTCGGTGAAGGATGGCCAAGATGCTAAAGAGGAAAAAAACAAAACATTTAACACGACTGCTGTGATAATGTTTTTAAATTTCTAAATATACAGGTACAGTTGAATCCTGTTACAATGAGAGGGAGGGGACCGGTGCAAAATGTCCTTTATAGCAGGATTTTCGCTATAAGGGATCCAGTAATAAATTCAAAGGAAACTGTAGAGTAGGCCTAATCTATGAGTTTGGTGTTTTATTTCCTTTTGCTATCTCCCCTGTTGATGATTTTGTTTCAACATGACCTCTAGGTCTTACTTGATCAAAAATCGAATCAGGTTTCTTTCTCTAGCGCTAGATCTAGCGATGTTGACTGACAGCTCGGCGTTGGCGATCAGAAAGAAAGGGCTCTGGGCTAACTCGCCCGCTGTGTTTTCCCCCAACCCACCACACCCTGTGGTGCATTCCGTCAGCTTGTGCATGTAACTCATTCGCTCCATCCATCACATTGCTGTGACCTCTCTCTCCCCGCATCGGAGAAGTGAGAGGCATGGTAGGCCTTGATAATCTGAACTAGGCATACGTTGGCCTATCAGGCAATGCCTTCTGTTTGTCTGCGCATGACACACCCTCCCCTACTCAGTCGCTTCGGCCTTCACTGTTGACACACATGGGCTCTCCCATTCTTTGTTTCGCTAGATCACCAACAAGTTTCTCAACTGGCAAGGTTTTACAATATGTATAATTGGCCTATGCACTGTGCACAGCAGCAGCAATATTCCGCGATAACCGACTCGCATGTTTGTCAGATAGCACTATAGCAGTATTTTATTTACAAAGGTAAAGAAGAGAAAAAAAATGGGGTTTTAGAACAGTGTCTTTATAACAGACTTTTCATTTTTTCCGGACTCGTCATAAGTGGACTCCACTGTAGTTGTTTTTTTACACCCCCATCCACATAATGTAGATCATTTAGGAGGCAGGCTTCAACCGCCACCCATAAGGGTCAACCCAGGCTGAGAGAGATACAATATTTCTATTTTTTTTTATAGTAGAGGGTTTTACGGCGCTCGTAACTGCATAAGGTCATATGAGCGTCAAGGGGTGGGTGTCAACAGAGAAGTTTTTACAGGGAATCAGACTTACTCTGCTCACCTCTCTAGCTTCAACAGCACAAGGTCTGTTTCAACTATCAAGGCACCCCGGAAATAGCAGGTCACATGAGAGTGACAAACATACAAAAGAAGTAGAGGAAAATGACAATAGTAAGGATTAGGAAAGAAAAAGCAGCAGTTCCCTGTTGTACATCACGCACAGTTATGAGCGTGACATGAATCAGCCCATTTACAATTCTACTGTGCATGAACGAGAAATGTTCCCCCTTTGGGAATGGCCTAAAGACACCACAGTCAGTGGCACTGCCCCGGGGGTTACAATATCTCAGCAGAAAGACAGAGATACATGATCAAATTTTTCCCCCACTCCGGAATCGAACCTGGGTCTCCAGCATGTGACAACAAAGCACCTAACTGCTACACCACAGACGTCAGTCCTGCTGAGATACATTTACATAAAAATATCTATAGAGTAGCTTGACTCCCTCGCAGCCACTGCTGGTGTGCGGCCAGTTCTCATAACTCGCATTCCAGTTGCTTTAAGGCTTTGAATAAACCACTGTAGCTTCTCTTGGGTCTGTCAATGCGTTCACTTTCATTTCCGGTCTTTCCCGCTGTTCCGACACATGTGATGCGAGTATGAACTTTTCAACCCAGAAAACATCCCTTTGTGAAATTTCAGGTGAGCTTTTCATTAGCTCTTACTACAACCTAAATATTACTATTTTGTCAACTAAGTGCGGTTTCTGTGTTTTAAAATGCATGTTTTTAAGCCTAACGTTGTATAAATATCGCTCAAACGTAAACTTTCGGAGAAACATCGATGGACTCAGCCAGGGCAGGGTAATTTTTCATGTGGGCCCACATGCGGTCGAATCGGCCGCACCGAGGACGGGCTTTATAGCAGAGGTCCTGGCCGCGGCCAGAGTCCAAAATGATAGTTAGCCCGTGGTCAAATGAAGGCTAAGGTCTTGAGATAGAATCTAGACCTTGTTCTTGATAGAGGTAGGCTGTTTGCAAAGCTTTTTGTCCACTTAATAAAGCTAGATCTAGATCTACTGGTAACGAAACAATACGATATTTTCAAGCATGGCACCGATCTCGGTGGCCTAGTGGTATGGCGTCCTCCTCGGAAATGGAAGATCGTGGGTTCAATTCCCCGACCAAGTCATACATAAGACTAAAAAAACTGGCAATCTAGATCTAGTAGCTGTCCCACCAGGCATCGACATTATGGGACGAGTGCTATGATGGGTTGGCCCGGTGTTAGTACACTGTGACTAGATGGGATAATAAGTTCTGTTACATTTCATATCCCAGTGTAACAGCACGTTAATTTGCCTAAATGACCTACTGGTTTTAATTAGAGACGTTAAAGGCCAACTCAAACAAAAACTCAAGTATGGCATGAAGTGAACTCTAATCTATCCAAAAAATGTGTTTTCCCAAGCAAGTCTCAAAATGAGTGGGAAACCGAAGGGGACAAAAGAAGCTTTAGACAACGTGTAACAAGCAGTCAGTGAAGGGATGGAGAGATGCCAAGTCAATCTGAGACTGAAAGATTCCTTCGTTCTTCCTACTTTGCAACGCAGGAATAATGGCGGCAAGAGAAAGACATCGCTGGAAAACATTCCATCGCTCATCAGTGGACAAGAGTTCATTGACTCTTTAATCAACAAGGAGAGAAAGATCAAAAGGAAAGCAGAGATGGAAATGAGAAAAGTGGACAGAGTAGAGCCAAAATGGGAGAGGAGAAATGGAAGACGGGAAAGGAAAGAGAAAAACAGCGAGAGGAGCTAAAGAAGCACAGTGGAGAAAGAAAATAGAAAGAAGATGCAAGAAGAAAGGAGACTAGCCAAGGAGAAGGGGACAGAGAATAAGAAGAAGCAAAAGAAAAGAAGTCCAAAGTGAAAGGAAACAAATCCAAGAAGAGGTTGAGTGATTCAGACAATGACACAAGTGCAGGTATCAATGAAAGTGAAATGATACTGTTTGATGAAGATGACCTGCAGTTGGAAGATTTCAAGGAAGAAGAACGTTCGACTGAGGAATCCATGTTTGCTGAAGTTTGATGAAGAATCAAGAGTCGGACCACACACGGAGAGAAATAGGAACAGTGTTGCTGCTGACAATGAAGGCATAGGAAACAAAAGACAAGTTGAAGCAGAAGAAACAGAAAGAGAAGACATGCTTGAGAGTGATGGAGATGGGAACAAAAGACCAGTCGTTGGACTTGGAGTAGAAAGAGAATAATATGCTATGCATGAGATGAATGAAGAAGAAGTGGAGGACTGCAACATGGTCGGAACTGGAAACGAAATGCAGGCATTGCCTGAAGCAGAAGGAAGGCCAGACACTGTGAATGAGGAGAGTTGGGACTCACTTGGTCAGCATGACGGTGGAGATCGTACCTTGAGGCCAGAGATGTGACACTTGTCCGTTCTGCTCTTATCAAGAGTAGACGTGATCTAGATCTACGATCCTTGTACTTTTTTTGCATAGATCTACGCTGTCATTGATTTCCATTTTGTTTGCATGCTCTGATCAAAAGTAGATTGAATCTAATTTAAGTTGTATGTACCATTCTTTAATTTTGAACGTCCCCGTTTGCATTTTGTGTCACTGATTTCCATTTCGATTGCATGCTCTGATCAAGAGTCTGTTGAGTCTCATTAAAGTTGAATGTAGGCCTACCATATTTCAAATTGCCCCTTATGCGTTTGTTATTGATTTGCTTCACTGTTTGTCATGTTTTCAAGTGTTTGAAGCTTGTTTAAGGCATAACGGGCATGGATTCAGCCGCACCTAAGTCAGGTGGCCGCGTTGTTGGCTCGTCGTCGGCCGCACCCAGGGCAGCCGTCCGCCAAGTGGTATGCCGAAGTTGTTCAGAAAACATCCACTGCCCTCTATACTTGAAGTCTTTAAATTCCCGACCAGGTCAGGGCCCTTCTTGCGGCTTTTTTCTCCACGAAAATCAAGTTGGGAATCTCTTAGTGCAGAAGCAGTGCAAGCTAGGGGGGAAAGTTCGCTCGCGGCCGCAAGTGGTCAAGTTACTCTAGTAATTTGAAGGACAACACTACCAGTAACAAATACAGGAGGGGGGGGGGGGGGGGAGGGGGGGGGAAGAATGATTCTTAATTTCTTAATGTTTGACCACAAAATCACCTTTTTCAGTACTCATTAATCACCCCCTCAGAATTCCAAGCGCAGTTTCAGACATTGACAGTATATTTCTATTCTTTTCAAATACAAAATTCAACAGTTCAGATTCACAAGCACAGAAATGGCTACACATTCAAAGGGATATATGAGAACTTTTCTAAAAGGTAAAAAAACTTGTGTAACAAAAGATGTTTTTATTTACAAAAAATGAAGAAACTGACGAGATCAAAATGAGACAAAAAGAAAGTAGAAATGAAGACCAGAATATCTTTTTTACGGATAAAAATGCAATGAACTTGGAAGAAAAGACAAATACATACCTTCAGCTGAGTGTGGCTCAAATAGGCCAGGGTCAATTCCATGACAATGAATGGAAGAACAATAGTCTGCGGGAAGGGACAAAATTCATTACTGCAGGTTTGTTTCCTGGTGTTCTGTTACAAGTCACAGATTCTAAAATGCCTGCAAATATTTTTATCAATAAAATGGATTTAATTCATTGCAAATAATGAAGTGTTGAAAAGATATCTAATCCAGTTTTATCAATATGACCATAAAAAGGAGAAGATGGAGATATTTGGGGCATGTTTTGAGAATGCCAGAGACAAGACTTCCCTATCAGACATGGTACTGGAGACCAAATGGAAAAAAAAGAAGAAGTAGACCAACTGAGAAGCACGATCAGGGATGTGGTAATATCACTCAGAGTAGGATGTGCCAAGGTTTGAGGTAGTGGTTATGAACAGATAAAAGTTGCATCAAATGCTCTCTGACTTGTGCACCTGACGATACAGGGAGAGGGTAAGTAAGTAACTCTCAAACTATGCTAAATATCTATCAAAAACATCATCTAAACCAGCTTGGCTATAAATCTTTTAGATGTCCAGTTAACCCTATTTTTTGTTGATGTTGTTGAAGTGCATTATTTTCAACAAGGAAAAACAGCACCAAAAAAAATAAAGAATTTTAAAAAGTAAAATATGCAGGCACAAACAGCAAGAAATTAGATCTATATTGCACTATGAAGATCTTTTTGTTTTAGCAAAGAGAGCTCTTTTGGACTAAAAAATATATAGATGAGCTAAGAAAAAATCAATGTTCAAAATGTCAGGAGGGGTAAGGAAGGTGCTGCAATCTGCCCACATAGCTGGACAAAAAGAGCAGAGGTTATATAGTTAGTGTGGTAAAAAATTAATGGCGCAACTTATTGTCAAATATCTCCTTAACTATCGAACATAGATTCTCCAACTTTTGCACAATGACTTATATCAATTTATCTTAACAGATGAATATTTTTTCAAACTCCTGCACACTGTATTCTAGAAAATTTCTTAATAAATACTAACAAAAAATCCCAGTGGATAGTTTCTACAGATTTTTAAAAGTTTACAACCTGGGCAATATCGCTTTTAAAAGTGAGTCTGTCATTTTTTTTCTAATCGCAACATTATGCTTATAGAATAAATTTTTAGGGAACCTTTACTGCACAAAATGTGTTCACTATAAAATTAGTTTCTTGTAAGAAGTTTTGCAACAAAAAATTGTCAGAGGCAAGCTGTGACGTAGGCCATATGCGTATGCAAAATGTGTGTGAGAAGTGCTGTGAACAATACCATTTTCCACATGATGGAGATTTATAGTATTTTATATAAATCTAAGAAAAGTTTTTTAATCGAGCCTCAGTTCTTGTGGAAAAATGTGATAAAGTTAAGACAAATCGATACAGGCTGATGTGCAAAGTATGGCTGACATCAATTCACCCGTTAAAGCGATATTTGAGGATAAGTTGTGCCACCAATTTTTGACCGCACTATATTATCTTTTACTCAATAGTAAGCCAATCTGTAAAATACAAGTACCTGGAAATAGAAAAGTCCAATCCCAAACGTCAATACGTATCTAGCGACCAGAGCTGTGAATACACAACTGCCAATGTGTACCATTTCCAGGGTTCGTAAGTTTGCCACAGTGGTCTGCAAGGTGTTATTTTCAGTTTCAGCTGGACTGCTGTTGGCCTCACCACTGCTCAAGGTGCTGCGAACTGACTGCCTTGCAGGGATGTTATTGACAGTGTCTGCAGCAGGGGCAGGTGAAGGAGTAGCTGCATTTGATTGGCTTCCAGGAGACCCATCTCCATCTGAACGGGGAGTAGGAGATGAATCCTTTGAGTTGGACTCTACTAATCTTGATGGTCTGTGACGAAGGTTGTATGGTGAAGAAGACACGGGTGCATCGGGAAATGCATCTGTATTGGTGCTTTGAACAACTTCTTCAACAGAGGTTGGCAATATTTTCTCAGAGGGTGATGAATCTGCAAAATAGTATTTAAAAAGAAGGTACTGAAAAGTATACACTTATGTATCATGCCATCTGCAACTTTTCCTCAAAACCCTTTCCTGTACAAACCCTTCGCCAGCAATGGCTGCCCATTTGCTCGACTACCTGTTCATATAGCAGCCTTCAAATGTTCACATTCTTTTGCGCTTAACCCCTTTATGACCTATATGACGTACGCCGTTCATAATTTTTTTCTTATACACGGAAAAAGAGCCAAGATGCTGCTGTGACCTAAGGCATTAATTATGCCTTGCCAAGTGCGAGGGCTATGATGATGAACATGATTCACTACATGTACTGGTTGTTTTCTGTATACTGCTTCTATCAAATGCATTTCTTGAAATTAATCGAATTCATATTCAGCTATATTTTTCCATTCAAAGAAACGTTTTTCTTTAAGAGACAGTTAGCGGTATAAACAAACCAAGTCTAATTTTACAGGCAACTGACCATTAAATGTGAATCAAAACTGTGCTCAGTCAAGCACAAACTGATCCCGAGTCTTGAACGGGTTAATGGAAGTAAAAAATTCAACTAAATTAAAGGCCAGGCCTGACCAGCCTGATGACTTCGTGAAATCTAAAGTTCACTGTTGGCCTACACAACTTTTACACTCACACACAAACTCAAACACAAGATACTAGACCTAGATAAATCTACATTCACTGAATAAGCAGAAGACAAAATTATGATACATGAAGTAGAAGGTCTAGATTTCTAGATCTATTTTATTTTACATGAAGCTACAACGAGCACTTAACACACCTCTGTGATTGGCCCAAATATAGATGACGTATTTCCGCCATCTATTTTTGTCATCTTCCAGGGCTTCCCTCGCCAGTTGATGAGATCTCACCATGGCGGGCCCCACTTTGCCGCTTAGGTGTGTGTCTTGAACCAATGTAAGATTTACACTTTTGTAAGGTGAAAAAATAACAAGGAAAGTAATTTATGACAACATAATTTTTTTTTTATAATATAAAAAAAAGAGTAACTATACTATTCACTTAGAGCAGTAAGCATGGCATTGTGGCGATACAATAGGTTCTCGAGCGGCAAGCACGAATATATGCCATCTCACACTTTATATTTATACACTGGTAGTTATCTAGGCTACATGACGTGTAGACCTAGTCTAATTCTGATTACACCAGTGCAGTTAAAGTGGTAAAATGATACCGTAAGTTTTTTCGGAACAGTTCCGCTTGTACTGTATTTAATTATTATGTCACATGTGTGTAAGCATGTTTTTCATGAATACTATTTCCATTATGTAAAAGTAAAGAGCATAGAAGAGTGACTGCAACACGGGTTTGCACAATATAAATGTCATATTATTATTAAATTATAAGCGAACAATGTAATATTACAGGATTGGGGGGGGAGGAAAGTGTAAGAAAAGTGTAAAGGGTGGTGGGGGGCAAAAAGTCCCACAGAAGGTGTACGATTATATTTGAATTATATTTGAACAGCTCCAAACCACGCTGATCACACCTGCCCAACGTCCGTCAGCGAGAGTTGGTAATGTGTCAGGTGACAAACTGTTTTTTTACACCATGCAACCTCCATGCATTTTTGTTTTTGTTTTTTGGTAGACATTCACATTTAACTTTTGATTTTGATCTACCAAAACTCATTTTGGTTACTTTGATTGCAATGAGCATCCGAACTATGTATTCCAATATAGTTCCATGACATTTTTGAAAACTATACACGTCTTGCAACTTTTCTAGCAACTTTTGCTAATTTCTCGCATCTTTTGGCACCTTTTGCTATTTTCAAATGCAACTTTCTCTGAGGACAGGTATGCGTGCATGTATGTGTGTGTGTGTGTGTACGTGCGTTTGTGGGCATGCGTGCTTGTGCGTGTATGTGTGTGTGTGCACGCGCTTGTGTGTGTGTGTACAACTTTGAGGAGAAGGTTAACTTATTGAAAGAGAATTGCTGAGATTGTTTATAAAAGATAACACAACCCACCCCCCCCTACCCCCCCAAAAAAAACCCCAACAAACACAGTGAGATCTAGATCTAGAGTCTAGTGAAAAGTAAAGTTACTGGCGAGGGAAACCCAAGTGTCTTGGAGGAAACCCCGGAAGACGACAAAAATAGATGGCAGAAATGCCTCATCTATATTTAGGCAAATCACAGAGATGTGCTAGGTGCTCGCTGCAGCTTCATGTGTTTATTTTTTTAACTATGATCATTTTTACCAAGTTACCCTCAACCAAACCGCTTCACTCTAGAGTCAGAAATAGCTCAGTAGGCACAGCAGGAAAGTGACAACTGTTTTCGCCGATGCTTCACTTCAACTTCACAGCACCAAGAAGAATGAGTAGATCTACATCTCTCGATCTAGATACACTAGAGCACGACTATAACGGCACCCACTGTGACCTTACTGGAATCCCCCTTTTTTTCTTCTCTATGTAAACTCAATTATCCGTGCTCGGGTTTAGCGGGGCAAAGAAAGGCCCGAACTCAGAAACAGCGGGAGAGATCAAGCGAGCTCTGGCAGGGGGGACGGGGGTTGGGGGCTGTAGGCGGGCTCCAAACAGGCAGTCAATGGTGAGGCATTGTGATTGGTCAGTCCAGCGAGCAACTCCAAATGTGATGTACCGTAGATTAGGCGCTCAGTATGAGAGCGTATAGCCCTAGGCCTAGGCTAGACCAAAAAGTAATAGATAGCAATCGTTGATTCTCATAGGCATACGCATGCATCCACTTCACAAGCTCTACAGTTGGCCTACCGGTATGATACACAGCGCAAGCAACGAGACCGAGGAAAAGATGGCTTCCAACAAAGACAAAAGGAAACGCTTCTCACTCGAATTAAAGGCCGAGATAACCAAAGAAGTTGACAAGAAAAGAAAGACTAATCAAAAGCGCAAATTTCATTGATATGGAACAGAGGTAATCATGTGGATTTAAAGAATTTAGTCGGTAATTTCCCCTTTGCATTCCTACAGCGGGAACTCGCAGACAGCGGGATTTTTCTTCTGGAACCAAATGTCCCACTATAGCTGTGTTTTGCTGTAAGATAGATCTAAATCTATATCTACATCTACACCTAGATCTAGATCGCCTTGAAGGGGCTCTTTGGAAGTTGCCTTCCCGTTTGTTTACATATGAAACAGAAGTGATAGCCAAGGACAAAAGTGGCCATGTAGGTTAAGTGAACCCTTCCACATTAGCCAGTAATATTTTTCTGCCTTTTTTGTATTAAAAACTTATTTTGGCCGGATTAAACTTTGGTGGACCCACCATGTTTACGTGTGTACTAA